GGCCCGGAGTTTCCCGTTGGCGGCCGCCCGCCTTTCCTGGACACCGTCCCCGGGCCACTCGGGCGGGGCGCCCGGCCGGCACGATGACCGACACCCGACGGCGGGTGAAGGTCTACACGCTCAACGAGGACCGGCAGTGGGACGACCGGGGCACTGGCCATGTGTCCTCGGGCTACGTGGAGCGGCTCAAGGGCATGTCCCTGCTCGTCCGGGCCGAGAGCGACGGTAAGCAGACCCCGCCGGCTCCTGGGGAAACAGTGGCACTCGGCCTGGGAATGCGGGGGTCTAGGCGGGAACGCCATGGGTCCCCAAGTCCCGTGGAGCTCGCTGGAGAGCCTTCGGGGTGTTTCCTTAACCGGGGACCCTGTGGTGGGGAGAGTTGGAGCAGAGCGGAGCACGCTGCGCTGTGCCGCCTTTTCATGGGGAAAGGTCGGGGACCTGGGATCCGGAGCCTGGCGTGGGTTTTGCACCAGTGTGACCTTGAGAAAGGCACGGAACGGATACGATCTGCCCTTAGTTCACCCATCTGTGAAACAGACACAAGACCTTGCTTGGAGCTCATAAAGTTCATAGCTGTTGCACACTTTGGGAGAAAGTTCTGGACGTTTTCCACTACCTCTTTCTGATCTTAGGGGTCGGCGATGCTGGCAGCTCCACTAGAGAGAAAACGCTGCTTTGCTTTGTGAGGATACGTTGGACTTGTCCGGTGTTGCTTGTCGTTTTCATAAGAAAGGAAGTTTGTTATTGTTGTTTTGAGACAGGATTTTTTTTTGTGTTGCTCTGGAACTAGCTCTGTAGACCAGGCTGGCCTCGAACTCACCTGCCTCTGCCTCCCGAGTGCTGGGATTAAAGTGCACCACTACGCCTGGCCAGGAAAGAAAGACTGTAATTCTACTGTGGGAACTTCTGGACCTTTGGAACCTTGTTTGTTTTTGTTTTTTGTTTTGTTTTGTCCCCCCCCCCCACAGGGTTTCTCCATGTAGTTTTGTTGCCTGTCCTGGATCTCGCTCTGTAGACCAGGGTGGCCTTGAACTCAACAAAGATCCGCCTGGCTCTGCCTCCCGAGTGCTGGGATTAAAGGTGTGCACCACCACTGCCCAGCCCTTTGGAACATTTTATTGCAAGATTTTCTGATTGATTAAGCGTGTGGTCCTCATTTGGTTCAACTTAACAGGTGGGGAGAAGTATTTTTAAAACTTGAATCTGCCCTCCTGCTTTCCCTTCAGGTCTATTGAAACAGTCTTCAGGGTCCAAAGACCAAGTTGTTCAAAGTTTCACGTTTTTTCGTTTTGTTTTCGACAGGGTTTCTGTGTAGCCCTGGCTGTCCTGGAACTGTCTCTGTAGACCAGACTGGCCTCAAATTCAGAGATCCTCCTGCCTCTGCCTCCCAAGTGCTGGGATTAAAGGTGTGTGCCACAACCACCCGGCTCTGTTTCTCATTTTAAATTATTAGTTTCTTCAGGGTTTGCCATTTTCCTTGGTTACATTCTGAATTTCACTTAATGAAAGAAAATATACATGTTGGGCAAAACTTTTCAAATTGTTTCTTTGGAGTATAATTATAGTAAGCTTGTTGCATTATTCTGAGGGACTGGTCAGTTTAGTATGTTTGTAGTTGTTTCATATCTGATTATTACAAATTTATTTCAAAGAAGGTTTTTATTCTTTGGACTATACCCAGAACTCATTACATGAAAAACAAGGACGTCCTGGTTGTAATTGAAGATTGTAGACACATTAATTTGAATTGGAAAATGGTAATTTGGAGTATAGTGCCCACAGGTTATCTTCATACAAATACCCCAAATAAGTTAACAGTGGTAAAAAGTTACCTCTACAGGCATTCTTAAAGTTTCTAACAGAGAGGCAGGCAGTTCTAGGTGACTTAGAGACCAGCCAGAGTCTACATAAAGTTCTAGGCCAGCCAGGGTTACATAGTGAGACTTGGTCTGAAAAAAAGTTTCTGATTACAGTATGTCTGTTTTTCAGAGCTGGGTCTTTATTTGGCATTAAAATAAGTTGACTGATGCCGGTTTGTGGTGGCACACGCCTTTAATCCCAGCACTCAGGGAGGCAGAGCCAGGCAGATCTCTGAGTTCAAGGCCAGCCTAGTATATAGATTGAGTTCCACGACAGGCTCCAAAGCTACACAGAGAAACCCTGTCTCGAAGGAAAAAAAAAAAAAAAAAACACGAAAGGAGGCGGGGTGGAATAGAAGTTGAATGTGTAGATGACTGTCACATAATAACCTCTACCTCTACATTTTTGTGTATGTGAAAACTTTCCTTATAGTAAATTGGAAACACGGGTTTTAAGGTTAAGTTAGCTGCTTGTTTTGAGGGTGGGATAACTGGAAAAGAATCCAGGGTCGCCTGGCCTTGGTGGCACACGCCTGTAATCCCAGCACTCGGGAGGCAGAGGCAGGTGGATCTCTGAGTTCAAGGCCAGCCTGGTCTACAGAGCTAGTCCAGGACAGGCTCCAAAGCTACAGAGAAACCCTGTCTCGACCTCCCCCCACCCCCCCCAAAAAAAAAGAATCCAGGGTCTTGAGCATGCTAGGCTACCACTGAACTACCTCCAGCATACACCCAGTTAGATTTTCAGTTTAACTCTGTGTAGGCTTTAGACCAGTTCTTTGAATTTCTTCACCCCAATGTGTGTGTTTTATTTGATTATACAAAGACCCTTTTGTTGGTTTTTGGGAAATAGTCTCCTGTAGTACCAGGCTGGAATCAAACATGGTATGTTGCCAAAACTCTGGTAGTCCTGGTCCTCCTGTCTCTACTTCCCCACATCCTGGGATTAAAGGTATACTACCTCATCCAACCTCTTTGTTTTGTTTTAGAGCCGTTCTCTGTAGCTGTTCTCTGTATCTCCTGCTTCAGATCCTCATGTTGGGATTACTGGCAATGAGCTACCACAGCAGCCAGTTTACAAAGACATTTTGAAAGGATCAGCATGAAGACTTAATGCCATACTGTCTTGGAGAATCTCTTTTCCTAACAAGGTTTTGTAAAAGTCTGGTGTTTCTATGCCCTTTTATATTTTTATCACTTAGGAAATAACCTCTAAGCCCCTTTCTTCTTTTGGAGTTTTGAAGTTCTAATTTATAGAACAGGTAAAATGATTTTTATTTTTGCCCAAGTGGGAAAAGAGCTAAACAAAATGATCTGCCCATGTAAGTTATGTTATGAGGAAACTAATTCCAAAGAAAGAATTTAAGCTGAGTGTGATACCTTCCTTATTCCACCATTCAGGAAGCAAGGCAAGAGGATCTCCAATTCAGGGCCTACACAGTAAAACTTCCTCACTAAACAACAAAGGAAAAGTGGACTTTTAAAAATTGTGGGATACTTGTGAAGAAATCTATAGTTTTATTACTAGAGCTTTTTTTCCCCTTACAGATAAATTCCAAATAAGATCAGTAGTAGTAGAAGTTTATTGAGTACCTCCAATGTGCCAGGGCCTCTTTAAGCAATTCACTTGTGTTTACAGACATAATTCTTAAAACTGTTCTCAAATGTGGGTACTATAATTAGCCATGTTTTATAGATAATTTAGAGTCTAAGATAATAATTATAGGTTGGTGCAAGTTCAGCCTAAGATGGTGGTCTGTATTTTAGTGAGAAATCTAGCCTACAGCTTAAAGCACTTATAGCTACTTATGATGAATGTGATCTCTTCTACTGTGGTCTATTTGTGTGCTGTTTTATTCTTGGCCTCGGGGATTATTTCAAAGAAATTTTAGTTTTACTCTACAGATAATTAATTTTGTTATAAGCAACATTTCATGTATCCTGGGCTGGACTTATATTTGCTATGTAGTGAGGATGACCTTCAGTTTCTGACCCTGCCTCCATTTCCTCATGTTGAAGTTACAGTTATGTTCAGCCTTTATGCTTTATGTGGTGCTGGAGATCAAACCCTGGGCTTTCATGAGTGCTAGATAAGCACCAATTGAGCCATGGCCTCAGCCCTAGATAGTTTGATTTCATTGATTGATTGAGGTAGGATCCTACCTACTATGTAGCCCTGACTGCTTAAAATTGTGTCTGCTACAAGTTTGGATCACCCATTATTGTGTGCTTCTTTCTCCATTCTGTTACATGTAATTGAGAATTCTTTTTTTTTTCATTGTAATGAACAATGAAGGTATTTTTTTTTTTAAGTTTTTTTTGTATTTTGTGTATGTGGGTGTTTTGCCTGCATATAAGTATGTGTATCACATGTATACCTGGTTCCTTTGAAGGTCAAAAGGATTCCCAGGACCTGGAGTTAGACTTTGAGCTACCATGTGGATTCTGAAAACAAGAGCAACTAGTGGTCTTAACCATTGAACCATCTCTCTCTCTAGCCCAGAATTTCTTTTGTTTGTTTTGTTTTCAGACGGGGTCTCTTGTAGCAGAGACTGGCCTTGAGTACCTGTCCCTCTGCCTTCATTTCCCAAGGGCAAGGACTGCAGACATAGTGTCTGCCACCATGCCTGGCAAGTGGGAAGTGTTTGTGATCTTCCATAAAGGGGCTCATTGTCCAGTAGAAAATTAAAGTTACAGATGGGTGTGATGCTCACATTTATAATCCTAACACTTCCTTGTAATCTGAGTGGGAGGCTGAAGCAGGAATATTCCTACTTTTAGAGTATCTTAAGCTTCATGAGAGACCCTTTCTCAAAAAGAAGAAAAGGAAACTTAAAAAGTTATTGTGGAGCCGGGCAGTGGTGGTTCACGCCTTTAATCCCAGCACTCAGGAGGCAGAGCCAGGTGAATCTTTGTGAGTTCAAGTCCAGACTGGTCTACAAAGTGAGATCCAGGACAGGCTCCAAAGCTACACAGAGAAACGTGCATGCATGTATGTATATGAATCATGTGTGTGCTTATGGATGCCACAAAAGGTCAGAGGAGGGCATCAGATCCTCTGGAACTGGAGTTACAAATGGATGCTGGGAATTGAACTCAGGTCCTCTGTGGAAAGCAGTAAGGGCCCTTAACTGCCAAGCCATCTCTCCAGCCCAAACATACCCTTTTCTTTAGTTACTAAAGATAAGTTACTTTTTTTTACCCCTCGCAGTTTTATGGTAGGTCTGTGTAAAGTTTTGTGTATCAGCAAAATTTTAGTGTTGTGCTTCATTTCCCTATTAACTTGCTGAAGAATAATGTCAACCTAGCCAGTTTTAGAATTGATAAAGTTGGGTTGGCATTTCTCCATACAAAGGATGACTTCCTTAC